GAAAATGGGTTGGTTGGTGGGTAAAATGATTATTTAATAGCAGAAGTTAGTGTGAGTTAAGTCAGTTTTAAGTGCTTATTTCTAAAAGTTGGGGGTGCTTGCAATTATTCCGAAAAAATGAACTTAGATAGAAAAAGTAGGGTTATGGGTCATTTTAAAAAAATAGCTTGAAGCATATTATTTTAAGAGAAACAAAAGCAAATGTTGATTTTGCAAACATCTGACAACATATTATGAGCAAACAAAAGCTCATAATCACTTTTAAAAAGTTTTTGCAAACACCACCTTAAAGTATGTCTCGCTATCCACTTAACACTATTTAAAGTGTTTACATTAATGCACTTTTTTCAATGTGGGATAGGTGATTTTCTATCTCCCACCAAACGGTTCCTTCGATGCTACACCCGGTGAAAAACACCGGGTGAGTCTTCTGCTGCCACGTGTTCTTTTTTTTATTTTCTAAAACCCCTAAAGGTAAACCCTAGCGGGGAATGTATTATAAAATATAAAAAAGAGACACGTGACAGCAGAAGACCCACCCGGTGTTTTTCACCGGGTGTAGCATCGAACAAATCCCCACCAAACCGTTTAAGATCACTTTAGCTCTTTGAAATAGTTAACTTTGTGCATTGATTGCTCATTCATCTCATATTGAATTTGAGTAATTAAATACACTACGATGATCTACCCGGGGTGTAGATTTTACGTTTCCATCATTTATTCCTCGATTTAAATATGAAGTCGTATTTCAAAATTTTCCAACAAATCGGTTCACCATGGTCAGCCGCGCAGTTTGCTTTAGGCCAACGAGATGTGAAACAAAGGGTTAGGCGGCAACCTAGCCATCTGATCGTTGAAGAAACGTAATCCACACATCGATATTATAAATAAATTGGATGTAATATGTAAATTGTATCAATTGGTAGATAATTGGGGAATCTGAGTTGATACCCAAAGGAAATCTTTTCTCTTGTATATAAGACATAGGAGAAAACCCTATTAGGGTTACGGTAACAAAAGATTTCAATAATAACACTTAATACTCTCTCCCGAACTCTCCCATGGATTTAGTATTTTCTGTTTGCCGTTTTCACTGCCGCCGGCCCAAGGTTCGACGTCCGGTGTATTTTCAACGGTAAAAAATGAGTAAAATTTTGGAGTACGGTGTTGAGTACGTAGATCCTACGCCATCAAAGGAAATGAGTGTGACATATTGCATAGGAACAACGAACAACAAGTGAAAGTGAATGCATCCATGCACAAATTGACATAACAAAGATCTAAGAGATAGGACGGCTGACCTTGAAAGAGTCGCCCTTTACTCAGCCCCTCTTGTTTGCCGCTATTGCCGCTTTTTGGAGAAATTCATTTTCATCCAATACTTTTTATTGCTAATTTTAAATTAGTCCCTTCATTTTCAATCCATATCAGTTTCATTTTTAAACAATAAACTTAGGTGTTGTCTCCCAACCTCAAAGTCCTGGTTCAGCCCTGTATAGTGTTGTTCATATCTCTCTCGTGACTTGTAAGCCATGCACAAGGTTTGCCAAATAATTAAGTATCTCTATAAATGTTGATGGTTGGTTCCTTGTGGGCACCAGGTCCGGGTTCGCTACTTTAATGCGCCGTTGAGTCACCATGATTTACATTCCTCCATCAAATACTTGTCGGGCCAAGAGATGAGGGCTCTGGAGGCGAGTGATTTCGTCTTTTGGTACAAGTGTCTCTATAAATGTAACTTCTTTTTAGGGAAAAAATATAAAAAAACTAAAATAATAATTAATATTTAATGATGTGATAAGAGAGAGTTAATAAATAGAACGACACTTTACAAATAAGCCCATCAATAAGTATTTATTCATAAAGGGGTCCAGACAAAAAAATATTTTACAAAAAAGGCCACACATTGTCCAGAGGATTGTAAAAGACTAAAATAGCCCCTCAAGTTTTAATATGTTCCAATTTCATCCTTTAATTTAATCTAACCTCAATTTGACCTCAAATTTCACAAATTATTTAATTTTGACCCAAAATACAATTTTATGGACAATTTCGTCCGTCGCCGCCGTTGACCTTTTATTTTGATTTTTTTTTCTTTAACATCTTTTTGCCCGCCGTTTAAACAACAATATTGTTGTGGTTGACAGTAATATTAACTATATTACTGTTAAACACAGTAATATTAACTATACTACAATTTAACACAGTAATATTGCTAATTAATCTCTAGCACAGTAATGTTAACACAACAAAACTCATTATTATTTTGTAATATAGTCATATTAATATATTGACCGTTTAACAACGGTAAACATAATAAGATTAATATTGATGTGGTCAAAATTGATTAAATAGGGGTTACAATTAAGAATTGGGTGTAAATGGTTGGGGGTAATTTGTCATATACATTCATTTTTTCTTTATTTATAATACATATTAAAGGGGTGAGCTTATTGACGAAAAAAATATAGCCCATAAACCTAGAATTATAAAGATGGTTGGTGAGAGAATTATGCACAAAAACTCCTAAATAGAACTTAATTAAAAAGTGTAAAACATGATAGAAAAAAATCTTTTACTTATAAAGTGAAAGATAAAATAAAACAAAAGTAATTTTCAAAAGTACAAATTATTGTGAAAGTGAAAGAGATTTATTTTGTGATGTAACATTATTAATATATCTATTTCTCAATTTTTTTTCCTACTTATTTTGTACTAAGAACAAAGCAACAAATAAATGGTTTACTTGAGATAGCACGTCACCAACCTACTTAATGAGGGGTTGGTCCAAGATTTTTTATACTTTTGAATGAACCGATTAATTACAAGTTTCACTATACGTAAACCCAAATAGTTTCATTATACCTATTTTACTCCTTTTAAAATCTAATTAGGGTTTGTTTTATCTTATTTATTTTGATTAATATTATTTTTATTTATTCATTATTTTTTTAAATTTAATTATTTTAATTATTTCGGTGACCTGGATTGTCGGAGTTTCGATTGGCTGACTCAACATTAATTAACTTCAATTAGTGGAAATTCCATTTTTTTTTCTTTTAACTTTTCTTTTTGTCTGAATTCTTTTTTCGGCGAATGGCCGTCGGAACTCTGGTTAGCTGACTCAGTATTAGTTAATTTCAACATTGGTTGACAATCCATTTGTTTTTATCTTTTTTTTATTTAATTTTTGTTCCCGGGGCCGGATTAGTTAAACTGCATTAGCTGACTGAGCATAAGTTAACGCTCTAACATTAGTTGACATTCCATTTTCTTTTCTTTTATCTTTTTTTTTTTGTTTTAATTTTTTTTCCGACGGCGGGTCGTCGGAGCTTCGGTTAGCTGACTCAGCTTAGTTAACTTTAACATTAGCTGACATTCCATTTTTTTTCTTTTTTACATTTAGTAGTTGGAACTCCGATTAGTTACCATGCATTAGCTGACTTCAACATTAGCTGACGTCCAATTTTTTTTCTTTTAACTTTTATTTATCCTAGCAACGGGACGTCGGAGCTCTGATTAGCTGACTATACATTAATTGAGTTCGCATTAGTTAGCTTTAATTTGCATTAACTGACATCCGTTTTTTTTCCTTTCTTTTAACTCTTTTTTTTCGACGGCGGGTATTTAGGGCTCCGATTAGATGACACACGAGTGTTTTAGTGTTGAAGTCAACTAATCATAGCTCCGATGATCCGCCATCAACGGAAAAAAAGTCAAATGTCATCTAATGTTGAGTCAGGTAACCGGGTCTCCGACGACCCATCACCGGGAGAAAAAAAAAAAAAAAAAGACAACAGAAAAATGGAATGTGAACTAATGTTGAAGTTAACTAATGTTGAGTCAGCTAATCGGAACTCCGACGACCCACCACTGGAAAAATATTAAAAGAGAAAGAAAAAAAAAAGATTGTTTAAAGTTAACTAAAGTTGAAGTTAACTAATGTTGAGTCCGCTAACTGGAGTTCCGACGACCCGCCGCCAGAAAAAAAAAATTTAAAAAGAATCTGACCTGGTCAGACTGGACTAGATTAGGTCGGACCGGTCTGGTGGGCGGGTGGGATGTAATGGAGGTAGATTGAACTTATCCCAAAGAGAAATATGTAGGACTATTTTGAGAATTCATTTGTTTTAGATATTTGAAATGAAACGTAAAGGGTGGGTTGTTTCTAGTGAAACTTGAATTTGTGGGTGTATGCGCTCATAACACATAAGTAAATAACCACTAATAAATAATAGAGTAAATTCTGTTTTGGCCCATTGTACTTTGGCTCGATATCACTTTACCCTTTCTATTCTCAATTGCATCGATTTGCCCCCTTGTACTCTGGTTCGATATCACTTTACCCCTTTCTACTCTCACTTGCATCGATTTGCCCCCCTGTACTTTGGCTCGATATCACTTTACCCTCTTGTACTCTCAATTGCATCGATTTGCCTCCGTGTACTTGAAAAATTGTCTCAATGTGGCCCTCGCCGTTAGTTTTTACACCTTTGACCTTAACAACGTTTGATCTAAGTTTGAAAATTACAAAAAAACACTCCTTCTACTTTAAATAATTATTAAAAAAAAAAAATAAAAAAAATAAACAGTGGCTGGCGTCGTAGACTATGTTTTCTTGTTGTCTTGAATTTTTTTATTTTTTTATTTTTTTCTTATTTTTGTTTTAATTTTTTAATAATTATTTAAACTGGTAAGGGTGATTTTTAGTAATTTTCAGACTTAAATCAAACAGTGTTAAGGTCAAAGGTGTGAAAGCTAACGGCGATGGCCACATTGAGACAAATTTTCAAGTACACGAGGGAAAATCAATGCAATTGAGAGTAAAAGGGGGTAAAGTGATATCGAGACAAAGTACAAGGGGGCAAATCGATGCAATTGAGCATAGAAGGGGGGTAAAGTGATATCGAGCCAAAGTACAAGGGGGCAAATCGATGCAATTGAGCGTAGTAGGGAGTAAAGTGATATTAAGACAAAGTACAGGGGGAAAGTGAAATTTACCGTAAATAATAATTAGTGATCCAGCTCAGCACGCTCTCACTTTGTTCACATTCAAATAATAAACTCCACCACCTCTTACAAAACCATTCCTCAATCGCGCCGAACAAAACCTCAAAATTTCCGAAACCCATTTCGGCAAAAAAAAAAAAAAAAAACAAAAATTTCATAATAATGGCAGCATCGGTACCGGCGACGCCGCTGCTGAAGGAGGAGGTGGACATAGTGATTCCGACAATAAGAAACCTTGATTTCTTGGAGATGTGGCGCCCCTTTTTCCAGCCCTACCATCTGATCATTGTCCAAGACGGCGACCCGGCGAAGGTTATTAAGGTGCCTGAGGGTTTCGATTACGATCTCTACAATCGGAATGATATTAACAAGATTTTGGGTCAGAAGGCAAATTGCATTTCATTCAAGGATTCTGCTTGCCGCTGCTTTGGCTACTTGGTTTCCAAAAAAAAGTACATCTTCACCATTGATGATGATTGCTTCGTGAGTCCACTTTCACTTCCCAATATTCTTCTTTTTTTTTTTTTTTTTTTTTTTTCTTTTAGTGTGTGTGTGTGTGGATTTTAATTTCATTTTGGGGTTATATTAGAAATATTAATATTAAATTATACATTTAACTAATAGCTTAAGTTTTTTGTTGAGATGATCATTTAATATGGTATCAGAGATGGGCCAAACAAAAAGTTCCTGAGTTCGAATCCCAATGGCACCCATTTCAAATATTTCAAGCGCAAGGCTTCAAATATAATTCGGCTGCACTTGAGGGGCGTATTGGAGATATTAATATTAAATTATACAGCTTAAACTTTACTTTTAGTTGAGATGATTATTCAACAAGTTATTGGGTTTTGTTGACAAATTGATGTTACGTTGTTTGCTGCCCGATTCATTTGGCGAATTTTGTTATTATGAGGAATGCAGATCGAATCCAGTATCTATTTTCCGATTAAAGAGATCCTTTTAAGCTAAATAAATCTTTGAAATATTTAATTTTTTTGCTCGATTGTATGACCGACCATAGTTTTTTTCTGATAAATTTACGCATATTATCGTTGGTATTTGAATCCTTAAAATACTAGCTCATTTGGTTGATTGTCTGGCCAACTTTATAAATTTAATTTTTATGCAGAACTGTAGATCATATTCTTACATATACGTTACTTACAGTCTCCGATAATTTGAACAGTGAAAAGTCTTGATTAAAAAAACCAACAATGATCTTTCGACAAATCGACCGAGGCTTTATTTCATTTTACGTCAGACTGTAGATCTTAAAATTTAATCCCTGCTCGTCGTTTTAACATTATAATTTTTTTTACGTTTCTGTATAATTTTTATGTTGTTAGGTTAGGTAAATTATTTCCAACTGAAATTACATCTATCAAATCTTGATTTATGTTCGGACTTTGAATTTGAATAACGGGATCATAAATTTGTTCAAAAATCTTTACTGACTCGTTTATTGGGGTTGCCCAGGTTGCTAAAGATCCCTCTGGCAAGGAAATTAATGCGCTCGAGCAGCACATTAAAAACATGTTATCCCCATCAACTCCATTTTTCTTCAACACACTTTACGACCCATATCGTGACGGAACGGACTTTGTGCGTGGGTATCCTTTCAGTCTTCGTGAAGGTGTACCGACGGCTATTTCACACGGGCTTTGGCTCAACATACCAGATTACGATGCACCCACTCAACTTGTTAAGCCTCTTGAGAGGAACACTAGGTAAATTGATTAATAGAGAAAATGGTTTTGGGTCCAATATTTATTGTTATGTTGTTTATTGTTATTTATTTATTTATTTCTTAATTTTGTTTGGTAGGTATGTTGACACGGTTTTGACGATTCCGAAGGGAACCCTTTTCCCAATGTGTGGGATGAATTTGGCTTTCAACCGGGAATTGATTGGCCCGGCTATGTACTTTGGACTTATGGGTGATGGTCAGCCGATTGGACGATATGATGACATGTGGGCCGGTTGGTGCACTAAGGTAGGGAGAAACTTTTTGAATTTTGCTTTTTATAACTGCATTTATATAGAAGGTTAGGTACTTGGTCGATATCAAAATGGAGTTTTTGAAACCCGCTGATTTTGGTCCGAATATTTCTGAATTCCAAACAATTTTTCTAATTCCAATTTCTGAAATACTATTTTTTTTTTCCAGAATTTTGGATTGGAATCATAATTGTAATTGAAATTCCCCGAGTTTTATTCTCTTATTAACTTAAAAAAATAATTCAAAAATTTTGATTTTTTTTCTTTCTCAAAAGATATACTTTTAATAGTAATAATATTATCTATATATGTTCTATCATTTTGAAATTTATTTAAGGAGTAGAAATAGATGTATAATAATATTAGTATTATTCATATATTTTTTTATTGGAATTTAACTATACATGGTTCCGAATCAAATCCGATTTAAAAATAATTTCAAAAACTCTGATTTTTCCCCCAAAAAAACGGAATGGAATTGTAACTAGTTTTTAACTTCTGAATAAATAAAAATGATATTTGTTTTTCCAAAAATGTTAATTTCGATCTGCCTCTTCCGATTTCCACCTCTAATATACGAATTTCAACGTATAACAACTTCCACCATTTCCTCTCACAGGTGATTTGCGACCACTTGGGTTTGGGAGTAAAGACCGGTTTGCCATACATTTGGCACAGCAAAGCTAGCAACCCGTTTGTGAACCTGAAGAAAGAATACAAAGGTATCTACTGGCAAGAGGAGCTAATCCCGTTTTTCCAATCCGTTGCCCTTCCAAAAGATTGCACGACCGTTCAAAAATGCTATATCGAAATCTCAAAGCAAGTCAAAGCAAAGCTCGGCAAGGTGGACGATTACTTCAATAAGCTTGCTGATGCAATGGTCACTTGGATCGAAGCATGGGATCAGCTTAACCCCACAGGACCCTCTGCTCCTATTCCCAATGGCTCTGCCAAGTAGGAATTATTATCTAATTATTTATAATCTTCTTGTTTCATTTTTTATGTTTTCCATTTTCTTGTATTTCGGGGGCGATTTTCGGATTTGAGAAACTCTTTGATGGAACTTATCATCTCAGTTTTTGGATTCTTGTGTTTTGTTATAGTGTGGATTTTAGTGACTTATACATAATAATCGAGATGATGATTCTTTTATCGTTTGTTTGCTAGTGTTTGAGTTCTTGGGGGAATCTTCAAATATATATACTAAAGATCATAGTAGTTATGTTTAAGATGATTTTGTAGGTGTTATATGGGGTAGTTTATATATGTGGATGTGTGTGGAATATGTTTTGATTAAATTGTTATACATGTTTCATTGTCCAACATAAAAATATTGTAACGACGGTAACTAAGAAAAATATGTGTGTGGATGTGTGGGGAGATGCCCATTTACGACATAATCAGGAGCGATCGCACGTGCACGCTCTCTCCATTGAACTGGCCCAAATGGCACAAGATAGCTCGGCCTAAGCAGACAATCACAACTCGTAATAGTCACACCATTCCCACATGTATCTGACGAAAGACTGAAGGGGGGGCACCACCATATCCCTACGACAGGTATAAATACAACCTTAGAGCACAAGGGAAGTACGACTTTCTTCTCCTGGGTATTTCTAGCACACACATTCTTATTATATTTATCTAAATACACTTAGAGTGCGTTTGGATGGAAAGATTTGGGGAGGGATTTGATTTGGGGAAGGGATTTGAAATGACTCCAATTTTGGAGTTATTTAAAATCCACCTCAATTGCTCAAAACATAACTAAAAAGAAGGGGTGTGGATTTGAAATCCATCCTCAAATCCCTCAATCCAAACAAGTCCAAGGGATTTGTTATTATGGATTTGAAATCCCCTCCTCAAATCCTTCCATCCAAATGCACCCTTATAGTGTTTCTCTATGATTCCGACTAACTTGGCTGTCAAAGTGCTTACACCGGGAAGCCTCCCCCCGCACTCCTTTTTTGCAAGTCTCTCAGAGTGCGTGAGCTTCTTCTTATTTGACATTTTCTCCTTCAGGCCCAATTCACAACTTCAATTCATAATTAAGCCATTTAACCTACATCACCTGCATTTAAATATTTTATTATATTACTGGATTATAACACTGATTCGATCCGAGCTCTCTTAATATCTATCTCAATTTTATAATGTTCCAAGAATCAAATTGATACATTCTATGACATAGAAATGTGGCAAGAATTCCATTTTTCGAGGTTAGTTTTTTCTATTTCTAGGTTTTGATGCGTTTATTTGTTTAAACAATTATATTGCAACACTAGAAAAATCTCATCATTACTTAATTGAAATATAAACAAATTAACATTGTCTTTTTTATCTATCAAAATGTTACAAAACCTGATCATCAGGTGTGTGTGTGTTATATATAACTCTTTAATTAATTGAAAAATATATAGATGTTGGGAAAGTAGTTATGTATATATATGAACATTCCCATCAGGTGCAGAGAAGAGAAGGAGAAACAATAGAAAAAAAATCGGGCCGTACAACCCAATTAAGAACCTAGTACAAAAAATGTCCTCACAAATAACGTGGCCCATAAAAACTAGACAGCAACGACGCCAGTACATACTGTATAGACTACACAACCATCTCTAAACCAATCACAGCTTGACAACCATTTCCACGAAACCACCCCTGGTTTCCCAATACCGCTCATGTCCACATCTGAAACTACTTATCACCACTGCTCCCCCTAATAACATATTCCAACGCTATCTCTCTCTCTCTCCTCTCTCTCTCCTCTCTCACACACACACACAACACCAACAGTACGAGGAGAGAGAGAGAGCGTGGCATTAATTCACAGAAAAGAAAAACCCCGCGTGTAGATACAAAAGTTGTATATATATTCACCCACCACACAAAATATATATGGACTAATTAATAAGATTATTACTATTATGAAGTGGGGAAAGAAAATATGTGAGTGGTGTGGAGAGAGACAGATCATGTACATAGAAACGGTAAAAACGAGAGAGCAAGGTCCATCATATAATTAATCATAATACACTACTACACTTTTAGTAGGTGGAAACAAAGTCTTCAACAAGATTCACACACACACAAACACACATATTATACACATTGCCTGTGTATTACCAGTGAAGGGTTTGTTTTTTGGGGGAAAAAATAAAAAAAAGAAAGTAGAGAGAGAAAGAGGAGAGAGAGAGAGAGAGAAAATGGGGAGGGGAAGAGTGCAGTTGAAGAGAATAGAGAACAAAATAAACAGGCAGGTGACATTTTCAAAGAGGCGATCTGGTCTTCTTAAGAAAGCTCACGAGATTTCAGTTCTGTGCGATGCCGATGTTGGTTTGATTGTCTTTTCCACCAAAGGAAAGCTGTCTGAATATGCTTCTGATTCTAGGTACACTATTCTTTCTTCTTCTTCCACTCACTCTGTCTCTGGGGTTTTTTTTTTTTTTTTTTTTTTTTTTTTTTTTTTTATAGTAAATTAATATATTGCTATTTGAATTCAAGAATTGTTTCAAATTGTATTTTTTATATTATTAATTTTGTTGACGTACAACTGTTTCCTTTAAAAAAAATCAATTTATTTTGGTACATAGGATAATCGGACACTGTACATCCGATCCCTTTCGGTTTCCTCTTATTACATGCAATATAATGTTTTATTTCTTCTTCTGGTATGTGTTTTCTCTTTTTGATTACTAACCATTTTCACGTATATATTTTTTTATATATATTTATTATATATTTTTATATGTATTTCCAAAGAAGTTTTTTTCATTTAAATTTTCATGCAAATTAAATCTTTAATTTCTGTTTACTTATAGCTCTATCTGTATTCTGTACAGCTTTTTCTTAACATGATTATATGTGAATAATTAATAATTTATTCCTATTTCTTTATATATATATATATATATATATATATATATATATATATATATATATATATTCAATTTTACTTTTGAAATTGATTAATATACACATGCACTAAATTTGTGCATTAAATTATATATTTACGGTTGTCAGCTTTACCTGTTCAAGATGTACCTAAAGTACTTTCTTTTTTTACTTGTTTGCTTTACTCTAAATAGTTTCTTTCTAAAACATATTTCAATTTTTGTATTTCAAATACTATATGAAATTGCTTCCCATCATAAAATATAAAGAGTACTAATTCAACTTCACACACATAAATATATATATATATATACACTTATTTCTCCTCTAAAATAGACTGGTTTTGTACATTTAATTTTGTTATTTAATTTGGTAATTACAAACTGTTAACTTGAACTATATATATAATTTGCTGATTATGATAATAAAACTGCTTAAATTATATTTTTTTCTTGAACAATGATCGATCGAAATCCGATAAACGATTTTGGTTAAGTTAACTATGGGATCTATTATTTTGACATTTTACTTTTAGTAAAAAAAATCGTATATTTATTTATTTTGAAAAAAAAAAACTTATATCAGCTTTTGACTCGAATTAGGTTTTACCCACTCGAGGATAAAAGTACTTTCTCTTTCAAAATTTCCTCAACAATCTAAAATTTGGTGAGCTTAACCTAGCTACTTATATATTAAAACTTTTAACCAAGATTATTATAATAAATTATTTTGATTTCCATTATTAGGTTTGTAAATATTAACAAAATCATTTTTAGCAGTAATACTCTTCGAAAAAAACATAAAATAAAATTCTTTATCTTATAAAATAAAATGTTATTATTTCTCCTACACAAATTATCTAGCTGGTTACGTAATATCTTGATCAGATCCCCTACTTTTTTATTTTTTTTTCACTTAGCAAGTTTTTCTTCTTACTTGCTAACATTTTTTATTATTGTTTTGATACCTAAAACATGATATTATTGACAATGGTGTTTAATTAATTAATTAATAAACTGCAGAATTTAACCTTCTTTTTATTGTTTGCAGCATGGAAAGGATCCTCGAACGATACGATCGATATTCATACGCTGAAAAGAAGATGAAAGAACCAGATCTCGAATCCCCGGTAAACACAAATTTCATAAGTAACACACTTTTTGTGAATCGAAACAACATAAATACGACTATAGCATTGTACTAAAATTGGAATTCTAAGTAAATTAATTGGAGGGGTACTATGAATTTTAATTTTAATTAAAACAATATCATATCTTGTTAATTTAAATTACAAGTTACTAAAAGTATTATATTTCTCGATTTATACAATTAACAATATGTCCTAACATAAATAATAGGGGCTCTTTGATATAATCCCCTGAATACTTCTTTTAATAGGGAGAGGTCCAAACTATTTTCCACCATTAGAGAAAAGCCCCTTCTTAATTTCAGCCACTTATTTTTTCAATTATGTCTCTTCCACCTCATCAACACTATCACCAATTATGTCCTGCCACCTCATCAGCCGTTTTTTTTTTTCTTTTTTTAACTTTTTTTTTTCTGTATCAGATGTATTAATCGACTATGCGATATAAGCATAGTCGATTAAGAAACTGGCTACTATAAAAAAAACACACAACTACGTAAAAACGAAAATCGACACTATTTTTACATAGCAAATAATATACATAAATTGTAATTGATTTATACAAATAGGAATCAGAAAATGAATTAAAAAAATGAAATCAAGTAACCTTAATCGACCACCAAAACAGTCGATTAACACTTTAATCGCCTACCAAAGCATAGTCGATTAACTTAATCGACTACCGAAAAAACACATAGTTGATTAAGGGTCCAGCCTGCGCGAATTTCTCTACCCGCGCCGTCCTCCGCCTGATCTGCCAAAAAACTCTAGATCTGCTCCTCGTCGTCACCATGCCGCCGCCACACCACACCATCACCACCACACTACCATATTCTGGCGGTTTTTAATGACAAATAAAGTAAATTACAGCCTGCACCACCAGCCCAAACAAAACCACCACCATCAAAACCACCAAAACAAAGCCACCCAAACCCAATTTTCTTCATGACCACCGCCATATCCAAAAAGAGCTAGGCAGCAAAATCAAATTAAAAATCCATAATCTGCGGCGACGAAGAAGTAATCTTCGCAAAATCTAGAAACTGTGGGTAACCCTAGCCATCAACTCATTATACATCTCAACTTTCGATCTAATCTTGTAAATAGGGAGAGAGAATAAAATAAGAGTGAGAAAAGAAGCAGATCGAGAAAAAAAAGAAAAAAAGAAAAAAAAACGACGGAGGAGGGAGAGAAGAGAGCAGAGTGAATGTAGATTGAGAAAAGGAAAAGGAAGAAATAATGTTAGTTAAAAGAGGAGATGCCAAAATTTAGGGTAGGGCTGTGCATGGATCGGTTTTAACCACCAACCAACCCATTTTCGACCCATAATTTGTGATGGTTAATCAACCATCAACCGACCCATTTAAGTTGGGTCGATAATGTCAACCAACCCATGTATAGTTGGGTCGATAATGGTTTCTAATATGCTAAAAAGTTGGTTAGTCGGGTAATATCGGACAACCAACTTTATTTATTAATTTATTATTTATTAATTTTATTTAAAATGTTTAATATTTTTAATTTCAAATTTCTATTTTATATCACATTTATTAAATTGTTTAATATTGACCAAATTCCTAAAAGCAATAAATATAACCTAATTATCTAATTTGAACTATTTTCATTTGAAGACATATAGTCTAAATATTTGGACTATTATTAATCGTCGAATTATTTATGTTTAATTGCAATACATATACCCTTGAATCTTTTATTTGAATATTGTTGAACTAGTCACATTTAATTTATAAAAGATATAACGTTGTAACAACTAATAAAATATTAAAAAAAATTTAAAAAATATTTAGATGGATGACCCATCAACCAAACCATCAACCGACCCACGAAATTGGTTTTCAACCATCACCCAACCCATATAAATTGGGTCGATAACGGTTCCCAATATTTACCAAAGTTGGTTGAATGGGTTGGGTTGGTTTTACGGCTGGTTTTTAACCAAACCAACCAACGCACAACCCTAATTTAGGGTTATGAGTAAGGATATAATTGGTAGTTACCTTTATTAATTATCCAAGCTAACAACAAAAGGGATTTTCTCTAATTATATATTAGGAGGGGGATTTTCCTTAACTACATATTCCTATATAGAGGGGGTCTTGCTAATTTTCCCTAAATAAAATATATTACATCATTGTTTGTGTTAAGTTTAATTAATATAATTTGAGGATATATATGACATTTTCATGGTTACGTTTGGGTTGTTTTGAAAAAAAGAAGAAAAATAATTAAGTCTTGCCAAATATATATAGTCGTTCATAAATCTCAGTAAAATCGTAGCTTTCCAAAATGAACTTACTCTCAGATTTGAAGGAATGAATTTGCAATTTAACAAGGGGTGTCTAGGGTCCGAGAGGCATTGTACTTCTCGGACCTAAACTGATTGAAAATCAACCAATAAAAATGTGTCACATAGGATAAGTACGAACCCAATAAAAAAAAGTACGACATATGGGTTATAACTAAAATTACATAAATACCCTTAAAACTAAAACTTAATTAAAAACTAATAATTATAATTAATAACTAGTAACTAAGATTTGATTAGATATATAAATAATAATTAGAATAAAACTGTAACCTAATTGTCTATTAAATCTTTCTTTAAGAAATAACAATTTATATTCGTCTTCTTCATATTGCTGTAAAGCCCTAATCACCCATCTTTCTTTCTTATGTTTTTCTCCACCTCTCTTTTTCATCATCAACGGTTTCTCTTTCATCTTTTTTTTTTCTTTTTTTTTTTTGCATTCTAGAAGTAGTATAATGTAAGTACTAATAAAAGAAATATATATCTCAAACAGGAAAAATTGCATTCAGTCATAACAATCCTTCAAAATCTCCAAAGATAATAATAAATTCTGAGGCACAACAAAATTGAATTTAAGAAACAAAAGAAAAGAAAAAAAAAATCATTCTTCTTCGTCTATTTCGACCCTTCTTCATCATCATCAGTCATTATTTCCAATAAGCAACATCCATTGTATCTTTCTTCATCATCGTCCATATTATTACAATTCAAATTCGAGCTTATTTCCATATTGTTATAATTTGTCCATATTCAAAATTATGAAAGTAATATTTATAAATATTGCTCTTACTGTGAGATTGATTTAGAAAAACTATTACACTAAGCTATAAGTTATAAACAAGCAATTTCTGCAACATTATGATACGAACCATCCCCAAATCTCCTAAGATTCAATTTGTCCTGAACCAAAATCAAAATTCAATAAGATATCTTCAATGTAACCCATCAAAATTTTCTTCTGCTAAATTAATAAAATAAAATTTTAATTACAAATCAGGAAAAAAAATATATTAATTCAAAATTTAACCCATGTAACATTAAACCTAAAGTCAAACTCGGCTCCTCCTCCATCACAATTTTCACTTCCGGCACAAAACGTTTGAAACGACAATTCGATGGGGTAAGAGTGAGGGTGATGGTGAGGATGGGCTGTTTGTCCGCCACCAATGATTGGACCGAAGAACTGTGCTGTTGTGGAAGAAAAGTGTGTGATTTAGAAATAAGAATGATACGTTTGAATTATTTTTCATTTTGGTCATAATTTAATTAATGATTTAAGGGTAATAAAGTAATTTAAATAGAGTACGAAGTGAGTACGATATGTGTACGATCTATTTTTGCTAGGTTCGTACTTTAATTTATAGATTCCTAGGGTCATACTGTATCGTACTAGGCCGTACTTAAAATCAACGATTATAATTATTTACGTAATATTTTTAACGCACCAGATTCAACCGTTTAGGTCCGAGAAGTACAATACCTCTCGGACCCTAGACAACCCCATTTAACAAAGGAATAGGGTATGTAGTAACTTAAAGTTTTACAATATTAATCGGGATTTTATCTACTAAATTGGATTTCTTCAATAGTTTGAATTAAATTATTTTTGCAAAATAAGAATATATACTGAACACGTCGATTTTTTTTTTTTTTTTGACTTTTTTTTTTTGTAACAGGCAAGTTGGAGTTTAGAGCATGCAAAGCTAAAGGCAAGGATGGAGGTTTTGCAGAGAAATCAGAAGTGGGGAATAGTTTTTCTATATATATATATATATATATATATATATATATGTTCATGTTATTTTAAAGTTGTTGGTTTGATTTCTTGATATTTGCAGGCATTATATGGGAGATGAGCTTGATAATCTTAGCACGAGGGAGCGGCAGAATTTAGAACACCCACCCGAGGGTTCTCTTAAGCACACTCGAGCACGCGAGGTATATATATATATATATATATATATATATATATATATATATATATATATATATATATATATATATATATATATATATATTCATGTAATCATCTTCTACTTAAAAAAAAATCATATGCAGTTTTAGGTTTTTGTTTTAAGTTGCTGTATTTTAGATTTAAATAGTTAATTATTACTTATGAGTAATTAAGTTACTAAATCGAAATGTTAAATGTAGTTTCAATTCTACTAATACCATTTTTTATTTAGAACGTGATTTTGACCCTTCTCTAGTTTGAATTTGGCAAAATTCAAAAGACATAAACTGTAATCCTTTCAGTTAGCTTCCTAATCCAACTTGAATCAACTGGATTGGATGTCGGGTGATAAAGTTACACATGAATGAGTTACATTTTAAATTTTACATAATTTAAAACATCAAAGTTGTTGGCAGTGTTCATTGATTCATTCATGCATAACTTTCTCAACCGACATCCAATCTTGGCGATTCAAGTTAGATTAGAAAGCTAACTTAAAGAATTACAAATACCATGTTTTGAATTTTGCCCAATTCAATCTAAAAAATAGCCAAAATCACATTTGAAGTCAAAATAAGATTATTAAAAATGAAACGATATTTATCACATCCCGTTACTAAATCACGAGTTACTTAATTACTTGCAGAATCAACTAATGAATGAATCCATCACCGAGCTTCAGAAAAAGGTACGAAAAATTACTTATTTTACTTTTACAGTCACACTATTAACTATGTAGCACTGACACGGAAACGGTGATATGGGAAAACGGGGAGACATGTAAACATTAAAAATATAGGGATATATCTATAAATCTGCTATACATAAACATGTATAAGTTTTTAATTATATATAAATTCTTTTAAATATATTTATGCAGACATATTCAAAATAAATTTTACTATCAACTATCATTTGCAATCGATCGTTATATTATGTAAATAATTAGGAAAGTAACAAAAATATTTGAAAATTTATTAGTCAATCATGTATCTAACTTTTAGAAATTGCAAAACGGCCCATAAGATGCCCGTCAAGTGTTCTCGAGGTCGGACACGAAACGTGTCCGAAACACGGAAACGTTAAGCAGTTGATGTTTCCGTGCTACATAGGCACACTATATATACTAATTATATTCGATAAATGATATCATATATTTTGTAAGATCACATATTATATTTTTGGATGAGCAAAATACATGATATTTATATTTAATTAATATTTTAAAAAATATAATAATTTCTTGAGAATGATATTTTTTAACAAATAACTTTCAGGAACTAGCTGGTTTAATATTGTGTGTTTTACTGAGAAGAAGTTTTTTGAAGAAGATGAATTTAAGAAATAACAAGGGTGTCTATATATTTAACCTAAAATTGAGGAATATTCATATATAATACAAAATTTAGGATATTTGAGAAGATGATTTAGGGTTTTGAAGGGGAAAATTGTAAGAAAATAAAAAAAAGGATTTAGTGTAAAGAAATCTAAAAAAGAACATGTGAGTTTAACACACTAAAATAGATAAAGATAACATAGGTGAGATTCGAGGTGTAAGTTGGAACGGAAAATCCAATTTTTGCTGGTTCCGATCCGAAAAATTCTGATTTTGGAACAACTTTTTTCATTCCGATTTTTGAAATACTTATTTCTGAATTTTTCCAATTTTTTTGGACTGGAATTGGAATTATATGAAAAAAAAAACTTCCGATTTCCAATCCAATTTAGTTTCCTAAAAATACGCCTATATATAATATAAACTAGGGTAAATTACACCCACACCCCTTAGGTATGCTTAAATAATTTTAAGGTCTCTATGGTATTGATAATTACACTCACTCCAGAAACGTAGTTAGAAACTCTAACGGGATAATGCATTGGATGCATTATTCCGATAGGGTTCTAATGTACTATTACTTTTAGCTAGTGGTGGAGATAACATAGAATTATGGAGAGTTATGGGGTGACATGGCTCCCCAAATATTTCTTAAATCACTCATAACTCTTTGTTGTCTCCACCTGTTTCTTAAAT